AAATGGCCTCTACAGGTCTTGATAATAGGGTTTTTTTCTATTCTTTGTATTTAAGAACAGGAATATTTTATAAAAATAGGTTTTTTCAAGAGAGGGAATTCTGCTGGTTGCAGCTGCTGCTGTGGCTGCATTTAGTCTTCACTTCTGGGTTATCTCTGTATCCAAGCAGGTGCCAGGGGCACTACTAAGTTGTTCCACAACACTGATACCTGCATCTTGCATTATGCTGTGTTTATACTGCTTCTTATCCATGAAGGTTTTTTAGTATGAAATTGTAGAAGTGCTTTTTATCTCACTTTAAAAAAAAAAAAAGGGGGCGGGACACACAGCAAAGATTATCTTGTACAGTTTGGGGTTTGTTTGGATGAATTGAATGTTTCCCAAGAAAAACACACCATAACTTTCTGATTTTTTCCTCCATCTTGCTTGTGTCCATATTGAGACTGTGTAGGTTTTGGAGACTTTTTCCCCCCAATTTTTGGGCCACCTTGCCTTCTGATGTCACACAGATCAACCCAGGATGACAGGACACATGGAAGACTTGTGTCCACAAATTCCATGTGCAACCTGCCCAGAGAGCTCTGAATTGCTTTGCACAGCTCTGACCAAGGACTGATGATGGGCATGTGATTTTTAAGAAACAGATCAGTATCAGACTGGAAATGTGTTGATGCACACCTGTTCATTAATGCTTTCCCTTAAATGGCCTGTTTTCTGTACAGCATCACTCCTGGGACTCTAGCAGGGGCAGTTTTAAGGCAGAAGATGATTGTAAATAAATTTTCAGAGGTGTTTTGGAGAGTCCCTTATTGCTGTTGGAGGTGGCTGTTGGAAAATTCATCTGGGAGGGTGACTTGCATGCTTTGTTGTAAGAGTGACTCCAGAATTCAGGAGCATTGGCAAGTGCAGTGAGATGAGTCTGAGGCTGTGGATCACATGTAACTGTTTCCTCCTTGCTGTCTTTTAGGATGAAATTCGCAGGGAGATGGTTTATGTGTATCATTCCTTAAGGAACAGGAGAGACACTCACATGATGGGGACAGATGACACTGGCAGTGAGGATGGCACGGCCCAGGTTTGTTCCTGCAGACCCAGCAAAAATTATCTTTCCGTGGTGGGTTTTGCTGCATGAGATGAGCTTGCCCAAAATGGCAGCAGGGCCTGGGTTCTGCCGTGATCCTCAGCACCCAGAGCCTTTCTGCCCAGCCCTGCAGTGCCCAGATGAGCTGAGGCTGCAGCACAGAGGCAGTTTAACAGTGGAACTGAGTAATGTGATCTCATGCTTCATTAAACACTCGAGATGTTGACAGGATTTCTGGTGCATGCCTTATGGCCCAGTGAGCAAAGCTACTGGAGCAACTAAAACCAGCTCTTCCTGGTGTGTCCTTAGCACATCCTCTACTGAGGCTACTGGATAGGCCAGCAGATATTCCCTAGGGATCACTGCCATGCTAAACCCATGTTAGATTGTGTATCCAATGGAACACACTGCAGGGGTGTTCATTTTAGGGTAGGGTGGGTCAGCACTGTGAGTAAAGACCTACTGTAACAGTTCGTTTGGATACATGTTCGGAATAAAGATAAGTGCCAGAAATATTCAAACACACAAACTATCTTTTATTACAGTGAGAATAATAAAAATAGTAATAAACTTAGCAAGAGGAATCAAAAACCAAAAAAAAAAAAGATACAAAATAACTACCTTATCGGGTGACATTAAAACAAATACTACAAACAGCTTTTAATACAGTATTAACTAGTGAAAAGAAAAGGGGGTTAAAGGGATACCAAAAAAGGGATCCTAACACAATATAACACAATATTATGGATAACTATTAACACAATATTGGTTAGTAAAAAGGGAAATTAAAGGGAACTATTATGAACAACTTATTTATGTAACAATATTCAATAATAAAAAGGGGAATTAGAGGAACACTAAAAGGATATTAAAAAGAAAAGTTTGTTCTCTCAGTTGCTTCCTCTCAATAAACTGTGCTTACCCACACAGACAGGCCAGGGCTGCCAGGATCTGCAGCAGCTGGTCGGTGCCCGTGCTTAGCGGGCGTCCCCACGGAGCAACACAGTCTCCATGGCAGGATGAGGATCACTCACCCCAGCAGTCCTGACACCCCATTTCATCAGCTCTACATTACACCACGTAGGGCCAGTACCCAGTATAAGGTGATGCCTGAGTGGCAGCCAAACCCTGCCTGATCATTACCTAATGGCAACAGTCTGTGCCTGCCCTGCTGTAGGGCAAGGGGCCAGCGACCCCTGCCCACAGAATCTTCCTCCCATCATCATCTTTCTCACCCCTATGTATGACCTCTACCATTGTGTTTCAAGGGTAGATGTATCTATCTTGCAGTATGTAGCAAAACCAAGGAAGAACTCAGCTCTGATAATAGGGGATATCAAGCTGACTTGCTAAAAAGCACAATGGACCTCACAATTAGCTTGTGCCATGAAGTTACATTGTACCATACTCTAGCTGGTTTCACATCCTAATATGATTCCTTTCTCACGCCTCTATGCTCCATTGATCATCCAATTCAAAAGTACCCCCCTTACAATGACCCCATTTGATATCAAACTTTCTAAATTCCTTTAGAGTGTTTACACTTCTTTTCAAGGTAGAATTGTAGAAAAACATCTCTATTGAACAACATCACAGCCCAGGCCTGGACAACAAGATCCCACAAGAGACAAAGCAACCTTCAAGCCCAGAACTTTGGAGTCACTCAGGTTTCCTGCAGATCCATGAGGCCCTCCAGTGTCAGAATGGCCCTTTGATTCCATGAAGTTCCATACTCTCCCAGAATTCGTCTGCTTCCATGAGCTTCGCAGTGTCTCAATAGGCCCTTGACTCCATGGGGTTCCTAACTGTCCCAGGGTTCCTTTGCTTCCATGAGACCCTGAAGTGTCACAACAGCTCATTGATTCCCTGAGTTTCTCTGGTGTCACAAGGACCCCCTTGATTCCAACAAAGTCACTGTATCTAAATTTGTTCTTTGCAAACTGTCCTTGCTGTCACCTCCTGGCAGTGGCTTCATGGCCCCTGTCAGAGCCAGCCCTGTGCCTGCACTGACCCAGCTCTGCTGCCCCACAGATGCTGGATCAGGAAGGGAAGGCCCACGGTGGAGGGCAGTGCACTGGGACTCAACCTGGAAGAGACCTCAGGCCAAACCAAAGAACAGCCAGTGGAGAAAGGGACACAGGGATGGGCAGTTTTTGTGCTCTGCCACATCAGGGGGAGATGTAGAGCTACAGAGACAACCAGCCAATGTGCATTCTGTCCATATTTGCCCTTTGCACACAGTGAGTCACTCAAATTCAATATGAGACTCCCCACTTAGACTAAGTCTCTGAAGCACACAAGATGGGGGCTACTGAAGAAGGAGGGAATGTAAACAGGACTTTTTTTTTTTTTTTAAGAAAATGTCAAAAGCACAGAAAAAAAAAATGTACATAAGGAAAGACCTCATTGTTCAGGGGAGTCCTGGCACACAGTGGGAGTGTCATTGGGCAAACAATATTCTACAATTCAACATCATGGACTCTTCTGACCCGAAATCAAATCCCCTTGAGGTACACAGAGTGTTTCCCCATCCCTCTGCATCATCCACCAAGGGCACCCAAGTCCTTGAGCAAAAACAATCCCCATGAGTGGGTTTACCTTTGCTTAAGGCAGGGCTCATCCAAACTGTCCTCCCCAACATATTCCTCATATGGATCACAGGGATTTTATCCCCTTCAATGGTACAGAGAGGTTCTTTTTGGGCAGGGCCAGTTCAACTGGCAGAGTTTACTAACTAGGTTTGCGTGATGCCTTAAAGCTTTCTGGATATTTTTTTTTTAGCTTTTTGTAGATGTTAAAACTAGTTGTGTAGTAACTGTAGATGTTAATGTAGCTGCACAATATGCCACTCTTTAGCATAGTAGTTTACACAGACTCAAACCTATGACCCCATTTGATATCAAACTTTCTAAATTCCTTTAACATGTTTATACTTCTTTTCAAGAATTCTACCTTTTTCAAGGTAGAGTTGTAGAAAAACATCTCTATTGAACAACATCACACCCTAGGCCTGGACAACAAGATCCCACAAGAGACAAAGCAACCTTCAAGCCCAGAACTTTGGAGGCACTCCAAAGACTGTACGGGCTGTGAAGAAGATAAAGATGAGGGAGAAGGGGTCCCAAAGACCCCAAAACCAATTCCCCAAGGGGCGTGTCGGGGGGCAGAACTGGGCAGAACCAGGGGGTGGAGAGTTCTGGCATTGGACAGACCATCTTCTAAAACTGTAGAACCACTGCCTGGGAGGGCGCGCGTCGTGTGTGTTCCCCTGGGCCTGTGGGCCTGATTAAAGGACCTGCTCTTTTGAGCTGATCTTACACACTGAATTGGCCTGGAGTTTTCTCTCTTGAGCTTATAGGACTAACTAGCTGAGTGGCTTTTGCTAAATGCACATCCCAAGGCTTCAAGGTCCCACTGCCCATTGCTTTCCAGGTGGTTTTGAACAGTCCACTCTACCATTCAACTTTCCCAGAGGCTGGTGCCTGACAGGGAATATGATCCATCCACTCCATGCTGAGCTCTCTGGTCCAGGTGTGCACAAGGTTGTTTTGGAAAAGAGCCCTGTTGTCCAACTCCAGTGTTTCTGGAGGGCCGTGTCTCCACAGGACTTGCTTTTCCAGGCCCAGGATGGTGTTCTGGGCAGTGGTGGGAGGCACAGGGGGTGTCTCCTGCCATCCAGAGGTTGTGTCCACCATTGTCAGCACGGAGAACTTGCCTTGGTGGGTTTGGGGAGTGTGCTGGGATCAATCTGCCAGGCCTGCCCACATCTCTAGTTCAGCCATCATCCCTCACCCCACAGGGGCTTTACCCTCTTGGCCTGTTGGATGGCAGCACATGTTTCCCAGTTCTGGAGAACCTGGCAGTTAGTGTCCATGGTTAAATGCAGCCCTGGATCACAAGCCCAGCTGGATGTTGCACCTCTTCCCTCAGGACCTGAGGTGTCCTGGGCCCACTGAGCCAGGAATAATTCACCCTTGTGTTGCCAGTCGAGCTCTACCTGAGACACTTTCATCTGGTCAGTCCCATCCCCCTGTCCATTGTTGGATGTCACTCAGAAGCCCAACTCTTGGCTCCCTGTGCATCTCCAGGATGGACTTTCACAGCCAACCTCTCGACCCAGGTGGCAGGAGGACCTACCCTGATAAGGCCTAAAATCCCATCAGACAATGCCAACAGTGCCAGCTCTCATGCAAGCTGTCTGTGAGATCTGAGAGTTACCTGTGGCACCATGGGAATGGTTTTGGTGTTGAATGATGCTCAAACCAGCCTGGTTCACCCAACTGCAAACACACATCCTGCTTTTGGAAGTTGGATGGGACAGAGAAGCTGGTAACTGGCCTGTCCATTTGTGAGGAGCAGTCAAGCACTTCATCCTATAGAAGTCCATTCCCCTTTCATCCAGGTAGGTTCTTCTAACACAGCCCTTCTTGGGGTAGATGTGTGGAGATTCCTGCCTTGGGTGGGGATGCTCTCCAAGAACACTTCTCAAGGCTGAGCAAAAGAAATCTCCCCATGACCGTTGCTCTGGGTGAGTTACATCAGATCTCTATGTGATAATTATTTCTTTTGGGTAGCTTTAATAGAATTGCTTCAATAATTGCTTCAATATAGTGCACTATCCTATCTTATACTCTACAACTAGCAGTTTTAACCTTTATACTGTGTAGTAAATAATTCTGATTAAGATCTTTTGGCTTATCATTTGTAAGAATAAAGGATTCATTTTATATAAATATTTCCATTTAGGCAATCATTAAACCTGTGGGACAAAAGTGGTTCAATCCCACTTCTGTAATCCCTTAAATTTAATTTGTTGACAAAATCTGAGGCAAAGATTGAATCCCTTATTCCTTGAGGCTCCGCAGTGGGACAATGGCTCCTTGATTCCATGAGGTTGCACTGTTTCCCAGCGTTCTTGGGCTCCATAAAACCCTGCAGTGTGACAATGGCCCACTGATTCCATCATTTTCCCCAATGTCACAATGGACCCTTGATTCCATGAGGTTCCCCAGTGTCACAATGGTCCCTTTGACTCCAGAAGGCCTTGCAGAATCATAATGACCCCTGGATTCTATGAAGTTCCACAGTGTCACAATGGACCCTTGATTCCATGAGATTCCGCAATGTCCCATTGGTTCCCTTTGGTTCCAAAAGGTTCTGGGATGTCACACTGGCCCCTTGATTCCCTGACATTCCACAAAGTCCCAGGTCCTTTTGATTCCACGAGGTTCCACAGTGACCCATGTTCCCTTTGTCTCCAGGAGGCCCCAGCATATTCCAATGGTCCCTGGATTCCAGGAGATTCCACAGTGTCCTGGGGTTCCCTTGTCTCCCTGAGTTTTGGCAGTGTCCCAGGGTCCCTTTGTTCCCAGGAGGTTCCTTTGTTTCCATCAGGCCCTGCCACATCCCAGACTCCCTTTGGTTCCATGAGGTGCTGCAGGGTCACACTGTCCTCTTTATTCCAGGAGGTTCCACCATGTCCCAGGGTTCCTTTGGTTCCATGGGATTCCACGGTGCCAAAATTCCCTGGTTCTTATCCTTCCAACATTTGTGGGCCCATTCTATCCCTGCCTGGGATGGAGCACTGTTGTGTTTCTGCAGGAATGGATCCATGACCATCCTGCCACTGCACCAATTTAATGCTGCAGAAACGTTTAGTATTTCCCACTGCAGGGGTTGGAACTTGGGCCACAATCTGTACCAGGAGCAGAGAGACCCCCGGACAGAGAAAATTCTTGGCAATGGATTTATTAAGAAAAAAGAACAGGCTGTGGGGATCAGTGTCAGGGCATGGTCTGGGAAGTGTCTTGAGCATCCTCCTATTTACCATGACAGCTTTTTCATTCCCTTTTCCCTCTGTTTTCTCATGCTTGTTCCTCCTCCAACTGCCATGATCCCATCCTTTCTTTCTTTCCTAGAAATTCTATGACAATTCTTCCTCAGTCCCCAAATGTGCTTTCTTGTTGCCCATCATCAGTCTCAGACCCTGAACATAGAAACCCCACCCACATTTGTGAGGTCATCCTGAGAGGCTCTGCCATTGACCCACTTGGTGAAGCCTTCACAAAGATACTTTGGAACTGTCTTTGAATTATTTTTTTACCTTTTGGGCTTAGAATGGTTTCTCCAGAAACATGGCAATCCATGTCCTAGATATGGCAATTCGTTGGAGAAGGAGTTTGGGACTGAAAGAATCACAACATGGTTTGGTTTGGAAGGGAGTTCAAAGGTCATCTGGTCCAAGTCCCTGCATATGCACAGTGACATCTTTTACTAATTGAGGTTACTCACACTCCCTGACCTTGGACAAATGCAGGGATGGGACATCCTCTTCTCTGGAAACCTCTTCCAGTTCTTGCCGCCCTTATCGTTAAATCTTTCCTCCTATTATCCAATATAAAACTCTTCTCTTTCAGTTCAAAGCCATTGCCTCAGGTTCTGCCACTACAGGCCTTGGTAAAAAGTATCTCTGTGATTTCCTTAGACTATGAGCATGACATTTTCATCTGCAAAAACATCCGTGAGTGCCCAGAGATCTCCCAAGATGGGCTTTAAAGGTCTCAAGCACATGAGCACTAAAGAGGGGCTAAGGAGCTGTGGCCTCAATGGTGTAGAGACTGAGGACAGTACAGGACAGCCCCCAGAGGGCATGAAGGGAGGATTTAGAGATGGTGGATCCTTTTCTCAGAGCAGAAAAGAGGACAAGAAAGAAAGAATTCATGCCAAGAGCAGACGAGGAGGTCCAAGTGGACATGAGGAAAAAGGAATTTCACTCCATGG